ACCCTCAACAGATGAACGGACAAACAAAACCTGCTCCATCCATAAGGAACTCTAGTAGCGCACTGGAGTAAGCATTAGGGTGACAGCCAAAAGCCTGGCTATTCAAAGCCACCAGCTGCTCTGTGCCAATATGTCTTGTTGTTTAAATATCCCTAGCTCTACGAGAGATGCAAATCAAAACAACTACGAACTATCATCTCACCCCAGTCAGAATAGTAAAATTTAACAGCAAACAACAAATGCTGGCGAGGTTGTGGAGAAACTGGAACCCTTATTCACTGTTGATGGGAGTATAAAATGGTGCAACCAGTGTGAAAGGTGGTATGGCGCTTTCTCAAAAAGTTGCAAACAGAGATACCGTTTGACCCAGCGATTCCACTACTGGGAATATACCCTAAAGAAACCATAACTGCCACCCAAGTAGATATATGCACACCCATGTTTATCGAGGCTTTGTTCACAATAGCAAAGAGTTGGAAACAACCTAAATGCCCATCAACAAACAAATGGATAGAGAAGCTGTGGTATAGTCAATGGAATACTACACTGCACTGAAAAACAAGAAACTCATAAAGTATTATTCAAAATGTATGACCCTGGAGGACATTATGCTGAGTGAAATATCTCAGTCACAAAAGGACAAATATTGCATAGTGCCACCGTTGTAAAATGGGACTAACATAGGGGTTGGGTGGAGACTGAGAAAGATGGGATAGATTACACATACTGCATTGAAACTGTTTAAAAGGTACAGGTGATTAGGTATTACTGTCATCACATGAGTCCAGAACGACGGCTGCATAGTGGAGTGGACTCGGGGGGGTAAGGACTGTATTAACAATAAAAGAATTTTACTTTTCAAAGAGAAGAACAAACTGGAGGGGTGGGGGGGGTGGGCAGGGAGAAAAGTGCAATAATGAATGAATGTAAATCCAAAAACTCTGTTAAATTTTCATTAAAAATAATAATAATAATGAGCTTTAAAAAGTCTTCTTGTATGGCAGTTCAAACCCACCCAATGAAACTGAGAAAAGCAGCTCTGGCAATTGCCTTCTATTCTGATGAAACCAAGAAACAAACGCACCCACATCAAGCCTCTGCCTGTGAGTCAGCGTTGGTGCTGGGGTCCCTCGCTGGGTTCGTGAGGCTGCGAGCCTTACAGAAGGGGTCTGTCGGCTTTATCCTTCTCCTGCGGAGCAGCTGGTGGGTTTAAATGCCAACCTTTCAGTTAACAGCCTAACATTTCACTACCAGCTCAACAGGACTGCTTTTATTACCCACTCAGATGACCCACTACCACCAGTCGCTTCTGAGAAGGATCCTGTGGGTGAAGCAGAACAGCCCCGTGGGGTCCCCAAGGCTGTACCAGTCACAGGTGCAAATGGCCACACCTTTCTCCCGCACGTGGCTGGTAGTCTCCAGTGGTCCTTTCAGTTAGCTGTCAAATGCTTTAACCAGTGTATCACCAAGGCATCTTCCTATTAAAGCCATCAGCCCTGGAAACGCTATACCATCACTGACTCCACTGGCCCCGTCTCTCTTGTCATTATTTTCTCTCAGGAAAGATCGTGAAAATCAGTGGTCTCTTAATTTTTAACCCCTGGGCTATTTTCACTGAAATGGACAGATTTTTATTTCTATAGAAAATTGGGAAGCCTTGTGTGGAAAGAAAGGGCTCGTTTCTATGGCAACTTAATGCCAGAAGCCTAATTCAGAGCTCTTGAGATATCTTTTCAGCACTGTTATTGAAGGGTTGGTGAGTGGGTGCTGGTCTGGAGCAGTGTTCTCTAGTTCTTTCTGCTGTTTGGGTTTATGTGTCCACCGGGTAATCACTGATGTGCTTTGTATACTTTCATTCAAATCACACACACACGCGCACACACAAATACCAAGGGTTTTGCCCAGTGTTCAGGCACAGTATAAGGCACTGAGATGCAGAAGAAAGATCTGGCTATCTCCTATGGAAAAAATCAACTGCGTGAAGCTCCGTGGGACACGGTTTTACTCTGGCATGTATATACAAAGTGCTGAGAGTTGGAACTGGCATGACAGCAAGTGATCCTGACAGGACAGAACAACGCTGGCTTGAGGTTTGGTGACAGATGCCCCGCAAGGGGCGATTCCTATTGATGACAGCAGGGAGAGGCCAGTGCTCGGTCATGGAGTTGCTGCTGCCAGTCCTGTCAAGTGGGTTCTGAATCACAAGGAGCTCACACCGAACGGAACAAAGCCATGCACTGCAGCATCTCGTGGGCCTCCACAGGCCTGAGCCCACTGTTCCGACCACTGTCACTTTGTCCCATCGACGCTCCCCTTTGTCTCTGCTGACCTGCTCCTGCCCTGAGCATCATGTCCTTCACTAGTCATTGGTCTTTCCTGATGTCCTGTCTTGAGTGAGTGGACATCTCACTACTGTCATTTCTAAGCAGCATCCTGGCGGGGTTTCTTCCAAGATGGATTGATCTTTTCTTTTGGCATCGTCTGTGGTAGTTCCACTGGCTTCCTGTGCATGTGAAAGCTGGGCAAGGAATAAGGGAGACCAAAGGAAAAGGGATGCCTTTGAATGGGCGTGCTGGGGAAGAATATTGAATACACTGCAGACTGCCAGAAGAACAAACGCGTCTGTCCTGGGGGGTGTGCAGCCAGATGGCTCCTTAGGAGTGAAGATGCTGAGACCTTGTCTCATAGACTTCGTACGTGTTATCAGGAGGGGCCAATTCTTGAAAAAGGACACCATGCGTGGGTCAGTGGAAGAGAGGAAGACCCGCAGCGAGGTGGATGGACAGTGGCCACAACAATGGGCTCCAGCATGGCAACGGTGGCACGGGACTGGTGAGTGATTGGTTCTGGTGTGTAAAGATGGGTCACTATGATTCAGAACTGACCTCACAGCACCTAACAAGAACCTGGTAGACTCAGTATTCTTGGCCAACACCACAGCCGAAATACATTCATTTTTCTTCTGTGTTCCTTTTTTCTTGATCCAATTTGTGTATGAGGCAATTGAAAAGAGAATACTCAGACTATACTCTCTGGAGAAACATCCAGGCTCCTCTGTGGAACTTCTATATATTTTTTAAAATTTATTTATTGTCTACTTCTAAACCACTAATTGTTTTGAATGGCAACATAATATCTCTTCTTGCATTCTTAACTCTTTCAGAAAAAAATTTAGATAATACAGATTATGGTATGAGTATGATTGGGTTTTGTTGTTGTTGTTATATACCATTGAGTCTGAACCAACCCATAGCTGACCCTTCAGCAGGTTTTCAGAACAGTAAATCCTATGGGAGGAGACTAACCACATGCTTTCAGATTGGTAGCACAGTTCTTACCATTAGGCCACCAGGACTCCCTAGGGTACAATTAGTGGGACCCATGCATCCCAAGAGGTCTCGTGCTGGGGAGAAGCTTGGTTCTTCGTAATCACACAGTGCGTAGGCACCCTCTAGAGGGCAGCACACACTAGAAGTGGGACTGCACCTTCCCACTAAACCCCGGGGGGGGGGGGGAGAAAAGGTTGATGGGCGTTTGATGTCCCAGGGGTCACAAAGGCCCTAAGATATTTTTGTGGCCCCAAGTCCTGTTGTGACACCTCATAACTTTACCCCCCTGCAAACTGAAGCTTTGCAATTGGGACTGGTTAGTAGCTTTCCACCCTTCATGTTTTTCAAAAGATAACTAGAAAGTGCTCCACCCTTCGTGTTTTTCAAAAGATAACTAGAAAGTGCTCCACCCTTCATGTTTTTCAAAAGATAACTAGAAAGTGCTCCACGGACATGTTGTTTTCCCCCCAGAAAAGTGCTCATACCCACTGCCTGACGGTGGCTTTGAGGTGGTCTTTTCTAGACTGAGCTTGCCTGACACCTCCACAACCTCAGGGACTGAAAACAGACTTGTTCAGGCAGCGGCTGCAGATTATCTGCGGGGCCCTCTCTAAGTTCCAGAGCGTCCCCTACACGCGTTTATCTCATCGCAGCCACTCGCTGCCTTATCCTCACTGCGCCTTTAGGATCTTCCCCGCACTTAGCAACAGGGTTCATTTGCAGAATTGAAACCTTAGTTAAAGTTTGTTAAGGTTTGCTTTTTAAAACTGGCTGTTCCCACCCACAGTCCCTTGAGATATAAATAGAAAGAGAGAGAAAAAGAGAGAGAGGTTTAATTAGTAAAGCAAGACATTCGAGCTCTGTCCACTGATCCTTGAAAAGGAAATTTAAGAGGCTGTTACTATCGGATTTTCAACCCTATATAAGGTAGGTCAGCAAGGTGTCAAAAGCACTATTTTTCTTTTCCTTTTCTTTTCTTTCTTTTTTGCTTCTTCAACCCTTTTTTCCTGATTCTTCTTGTGGAGAAACCTAAAAAAAAGGTGAGTAGCTGGGGGCGCACTCAGACCTCGGGCTCTTCTTTCCTATGTGTATTAATGCAAGGCTTGTACGTGCTGTACTCAGATCTCCCTTTCCCCGTGGAGTTGACACCTGGAGGGATTTTAATCTCTGCTAGTTTGGGCTTTCCCTCTATCAGATTCCCATCCTCCAGGACAGACAGAAGATAGTGTCTCGGCCACAGTTACCCTTGAATTGGCGAGGTAGAACTTGCAACCGTGTGTTTTTCTGGATGGTGCAGAAAACTACGATGGCATTTGTCATGTGATTTACTGGTGAATAGTTTGTAGATGACTACGGGGTTGGGTTGTTGGTTTTTTAATTATGATGACTATGTAAGTGATTATGTAAAGATCCTTTTCTCTTCGGAAAACAGAGCTGAGTAGCCGTTTGGGTAGGATGCTTTACTTCTGCTTTTTCAGTGTGTTCAGAAGACCTGGGGTCTTTTCAGCGTCTGGCTTTTATTTTGTGTATCTGTCCATCACTTAGTACAAAGCCGTACTTAATGGTTTTGGAAAATTCTTGACAAATCCATGCATGATTTCTGAGGCCTCTGGGTGCGGGTGCTCATGCTGCTGCTGACCGCATCTCATCTGTTGGGTGGACAGGTGGACCATGAGCATCAGAGACGTCCTCAGCCCTGACGACATAGAGGCAGCCCTGCAGGAGTGCCAAGGTAAGGAGGCGAGAGCCCACCTTCTCACCTGTCCACACCTTCTCACCTGTCCACACCTTCTCACCTGTCCACACCTTCTCACCTGTCCACACCTTCTCACCTGTTCACATCTTCTCACCTGTTCACATCTTTTCACCTGTTCATACCTTCTCACCTGTTTACATCTTCCATGTGGCACCAGAACTGAGTAAGTGACTTTACTGAAAGGCACAGTATTGGAGAACAGCCCTGTTGTTCGTTAAATGACATCTGGCCCATGCGTGTGATTGTATTTCTGTCACTGTTACTATCAAGTTATTTCCAACTCACAGGGACTCTATGGGGCAGAATGAAACTGTCCAAAGGGTTTCCAAAGATGTCATTTTCCCGGGGAGACCTGCGAGTGCACTGGTTGAGTACTTAGCTGCTAAGCAGTAGGTCAGTGGTTCAAATCCACCCTCTGCTCCACAGGAGAAAGACGAGACAGTCAGCGTAAAGATTCACAGGCTTGGAAACACTTTGGGGCTGTCCTCCACTGGGAGTGCGAAAGCACTCGCTGGTGTGAGTGGGGCCTGGTTTTTGGTTAATCTTTACAGAAGCTGACTGCCAGGTCTCTCTCCTGTAGAACTACTGGTAAGGTCAAACCACTCATCTTTGGGTGAGTAATCAAGTACTTAACTATCATTAAGCCACTAGGGATTCTTTGTAAGACTGAAAGAACATGAACAAATTGAACAAGGAGCCGGTAGGACGTGCTATCAGAGTCACAGGGCCCTCTGGTCCTGGGGAGCCTGAGAATCTTGGATGAGTCACAGTTCACAGTCTTCTTTAAAAATACCCCCAAAACATCACTCTTCAAGCTTGGAACTGAACTCACTCCCATGACTCAACTTTCAGACAAACTGTGGACAGGCCCATTAAAAACAGGACAGAACAGAAACACCTCACTGCCATCAAGTCAGTTCTGACTGGTAATGACCCTCTGAGACAGGCCAATAAGATGATCAATAACTTCAGGGAGAAATACACTTCTTAGAGGCACCAACTGCAAGAGATCAATGTGTGCAGGGTGAAAGCGCAAAGGCAGGGACAGGAGAGGATGAAGGGAAGCAAGAAACACAGGGAGGAAATGAGTAGAGTGCTGTCACATTGTGGGCATGGCCATTAAAGTCAAGGGAGAAAATGTGTAGAAACGGTTGAATGGAAAAGCAATTTGTTTTGTGAACTTTCACCCAAATCATGATAATAAATTATTGGTAAATGAAACTGAGGTTCTGTGCGGCCTGAGAACATTGTAATAGGAATCTTTAACGTCCTGTGTTTTCAGCATTTTGGCCCAATGCGTTTCAAGAATAACCCACTCTCTGTTCTTCAGACCCAGATACTTTCGAGCCTAAAAAATTCTTCCAGACATCAGGCCTCTCCAAGATGTCGGCCAGCCAGTTGAAGGATTTTTTTCAGTTCATAGACCAAGACCAGAGTGGCTACGTGGAGGAAGCTGAGCTTAAGTAAGTGTGGTCCTAGGCCACCTGGCGTGTGGACTGGAGGGCCTTCTCGGGATGTCTTTAACAGCCAGCCTCCTGACAGGCCACTCAGCAAAGCTTCATTAAAACCAAGGCCCTGCATCGCCTGGCTGCATGCCTGCCCATGCACAGCGCTGACCTGGGGCGCTGGAGCCTGTGGGTGTAAACCGTCCTGCTTTAGAGGGGGTTCTGTGGGTAAAAGGACTTCATAGAAGCAAGTGAGCACACAGACAAACCAGCAGTGTAGTGACTAAGTGCTCAGCTGCCAACCCACAAGTCCATGGTTCAAACACACTATTGGCTCCTCGGGAGAAAGACAGGGCAGCCTGCTAGGATTCCTAAAGGGAGCAGCTGCCCTTGGGTCAGTTCCACCCACAGCAGCCCTTCATTGTATTTCTGAGGCTCTAAGTCTTTCTCCCAAAGACCGGCTGGTAGATTTGAACCACTGGCTTCACAATTAGCAGCCTGATAGCCTGCAAGCTATGCCACTACCCATGGGCATTTCTGCTCTGTCATCTAGGGCTACCAAGTCAAAGAGAGTGGACTGTTGCCACGTACTCTTGCCAAGGACATGTCATGTGACAATGTCCCTTATTTGGAAGTAATTTGTCTTTATTCTGTTTGTGTTCTGTTTGAGCCTTGATGAAAGAGTGTTGAACTGCTAACTGAAAGGTCACTGGTTCAAATCTACTAGGCACTTCACAGAAAAAACATAGGCAGTGTCCTCTCCTAAAGATTTACAGCCTCGGAAAATGGATGAAGGGTTATTGGGAGTTGGGACTGACTTAAAACCTGTGTGTGTGTGTGTGTGTGTGTGTGTGTGTGTGTGAGAGAGAGAGAGAGGGAGAGAGAGAGGACAAAACACAAATAAAATGCTCCTACGATAGAAGTTTCCGCATTTGCTTGCTAAGACCTTGAGTGATTATTGCAAACAGTTTACTTGATAAAGCAAAGTCGGTGAGATGCACCGCTTTTCAGACACCACTCCTCATCCTTTGTTGTCCTGCAGGTATTTCCTCCAGAAGTTTAACGGTGATGCTAGAGAACTGACCGAGTCAGAAACCAAGTCCTTAATGGCCGCGGCGGACAACAACGGAGACGGAAAGATGGGGGCTGAAGGTATGGTCCCCCTGCACCGCCCCCCCAGGGCAGAGCTGAGGATACAGCAGGCCTCAGCAGGTCCTGCCCACCCCCAGGCAGAGCCGAGGAGGACACAACAGGCCTATGCAGGTCTGTGGGGCCCAGGCTGGGAAATCAGACAGAGCCAGGGGAAGACCCTGTTTCTTAAAGACTGAGCCTCAGTCTTCTCATGTGAGCAATGAGACTAGAGGAGAGGGGACATGTGTAGGAACTCTGGCATGATGTCTGGGAGTCCCGCCCAGCCCAGCCCAGCCCACTGCCTTGAGTCACTTCTGCTTCTCAGAGACCCTGCAGGGCTGTGTAGAACCGCCCACACTCTTCCCAAGGCCACAGCTCTTTAGGGAAACCAAGTGCCTCAGCTTTCTCCTTCCAAGCAGCTTGTGGGCTTCAGTTAGCAGGCAAAGGCTTTACCTATTACACCACCAAGGAAACTTGGTTGTACCATGGAAGCTAGTTTTTCTAAAAATTTTTCAATCAAGCGAAAATGTCCCTCACTTGAGGAGGAAATTGGCTGGGCCTCTGATTATCAGCAAGACATCTCGAGACACCTTCCAACTACTGCAAAGAATTTCCACCAGGGGGAGTGGCACCCGTCCAAATATGAGAAAGATGCACTTTGTCAAGTTAGTCTTCTGCCAACGGCTCACTTGAACTTGACCTGAGCAGGAAGGAAGACCTCTAGGCTTTCAAGGTTTAAACCACTCTTGCACATTAGCCCCGAGCGGACAGTGTTGTTGGGTGCAGTCAAGTCAGTTCTGATCCCGTGCGCACTAGAAGCCAGCCTACCCCGGCCTGCACTCTCCTCACAACCTCTCCGGAGCTTAAGCCGGCAGCTGCAGCTCCTGTGTCAGCCCGTCCCACTGAGGGCTTTCCTCTTCCTTGTCCACCCTGTGTTACCGAGAACAGTGTCCTTCTCCAGGGAGGGGGCTCTCCTGACGTTTGTAGTTTCACCATCTCCACCTGTGAGGAGCGTTCGGGCTGCTCTTCCTCCAGGACCGACCTATCTGTTCTTCTGGAAAACCCAGGGCATAGTCAGTGTCCTTCACCAACTGCGCAACTAAAGACAGCCTTCTTATCTCCTTTAGAGCCCAACTTCCACATGCAGATGTTGTTAAGGACGGTGGCATCAACTCCAGCTGGTAGCGACCCCACGTACAGCAGATCAAAACCCTGCCAACCCTGTGCACTCCCCACAGTCCCCCTGCTCTTCAACCCATTTGGTTGTGGGTCAGGGGTTGGTCAGGCAGCTTGGTCTTTCAAGGGGCATCCTTGCTTTTTAGCACTTCAAAGAGGCCCTCTGGTAGCAGATAATGACAGAAGCAAATACGTCTACCCCACTGCCTGGGGTCTTCTGTGGACACAGCCCTACATTCAGATCTCAACACACCCACAGTGCTGTAGAATTTTTCTCATTTGCTTTTGTTATGTTGCTGACCTGCTTTCTTGCTACTGTGTACCTGCCAACTCAGGAAAATGTATGTGCTGTCCTTCTGGTGGCTCGAATTTGAATTTCAAAACTGCCACTTTGAATCCTTATTTGAAAAAGTTATTCAAAGTTATACCACCATAACTTCCTTGGTGGGTGGTGCACAAACTTCCACAGATAGAACGCTGCAGAATTGCTTAGACAAGGGAGGCTGATTTCTTTCCTGTAACCGCAACAAAGAGGAGCCCTGGGAGTGCTGTGGTTAAGCACTCACTGTGAACTAAAAGCTTGATGGTTCGAATCCACACACTGCTCGTTGGGAGAGCGCTGAGGCAGTGTGCTTCCATAAAAATGCAGAGAGACCTTCTGCGGCAGTTCAGCTCTGTCCTCCCGAGCTGATGAAGCAGAACAGCGTGGACGGCAGTGGTCTCTCGTGATGCTCACACAGTGGTCACAGGCTCGAGTGCTAACTGAAAGGTCACTCCACAGACGAGGAGACGGTTTGCTCCTCTAAAGATTATTATCGTTGTTGTGCGCCACTGAGGCAGAACAGACTCATAGCTGACGCTCCAGTGGGTTTTCAGAGGCAGCAAATCGCATGGGAGAACACTGCCCATCCTCCCTTGGACTAGTGGATCTGAACCACATGCCTTTGTAATCGCAGTGCAGCTTCTTAACCACTAGGACACCAGAGCTCCCTCAGGAAGCCATGTGGCGCAGTCCTACTCTGTCCAGGAAGGCTGTGGGGTGGGATATTGCAAAGCTGATGAAGTCTGTACAATTAGACAGGTTACACAGGACAGGACCCTAAAGGACCTCTTATCAACAGCACCCACTCTTTCCTTTGTCCCAAGATTTTCTATCAAAATCCCTGGTGGCACAGGCGTGCTCTTACCTGAAAGTCTGACAGTCTGAATCCACCAGGTGCTCCACAGGAGAAAGATGAGATACTCCGCAGCCTCAGAACCTGGTGGAGTGTCAACAGGGGTCAGGAATGCCTGCACACAGTGGGTGGAAGGGTCTCTGTGAGTCAGAACTGACTCACAGTAGTGGGTTTGCATTTGGGGGGCACCACACCTGCCAACCTACCATCAACAACTCACTTCCCTCCTCTCTCAAACCTCATCACTAGCTGGTCTCAGCCAGGCTTTGATGGACTTAGCCATCTTCACTGACCCTTCTCTCCCCTTCTATCATAGAATTCCAGGAAATGGTGCATTCTTAAAGAACTCAGTCTATGGACGCAAAGAACACACAGAGAGGGACCAGGCAGACAGCCGGAAGACCTCCAAAGTCCCAGGAATAGGACAATCCCATCCCCATCCCGCATTATTTGTTCATTCCCCCTGACAAGCCCCTGCAATTGGCTCGGTGTTTGAGGGACGTGATAGGACAGGCATTGAGTGACTTTTTGGTGTGGGGAACGCCCTCAGCAGACCCTTATAAAATCACCCAATAAAGACACTTTCTCGTCTTCTGCTGATGTGTGGGTGTGCATTTGTTCTCAGAAAGGCTTAGGGATGAAAGGCACTGGAGGAGACAGCACTACAAAACAAAGCTAAAAGGCAGGAAGGGGCGGGAAAGAGGGACAAATGGAAATGGGAAACCCAGGGAGGAAGGGGGAAAGTGCTGTTACAGGGAGGGCACTGCAACCTGGATCTTGGTGCAAAATGTGTACCAACTGTGGAGCGGGAAATGCGTTTGCTCCATACATTTCCATTCAAACTGCAGCAAGCCATCCTCTGCCACCAAGCTGGTCTCCATCCCTGGTGACTCCGGTCACACTTCTGAGGCTGGAAGTCTTTGGAGAGGAGACTGTCCATCTTTCTCCCTTGGAGCAAGTGGTGGATTTGAACCTCTGACCTTTGAGTTAACAGCGCACACATAACATACTATGCTACTGGAGCTCTTTAAACATCAGAAAAGCTTTTAGGGGCGGGGGTAAGAAAAGAAAGCACTTTGAGGACCCAAGACTTGTCTGAGGAAGTCAGGTCTTCAGCCGCTCAGTGAATCCCCTGGGGGCTGTGCCTTCTGAACAGGGTCACTGGGACATCTTGGTCACCGGGAGGTTTGGGGTTTTGGGTTTTTTCCCAAGGTCACCAATTGAACAGCATAGTCACAACAGGGTTTTGTCAGCAAATCCTCTGGCTCTGGGATTAACATGAAGGGAGTGTTGGCTCTCAAAACCCCTCATGAATGTGTTTCCTGCTGCTGGATTTTAGATTGTTGTGAGAGAGGGCTGAGCAAAACAAGAGCAAACCAACCCAGCAGGGGACGGTGGTGCCGTTGGTGTCAAGGAGCCAGCTCCGACTCATGGCGACCTCAGCTGAGAACGCTGCCCCATCCTGGGCCAAGGTCATGTTCACGGGCACCCTTCATTGCACTGCTGCAGCCACTCTGCACTCAGAGTGTCTTCCTAAACAGGGGTGCTCATGTTCCCCCCACGGTACCACAAACTGTTGTGATTCATGACATTTCCACTGGCTTATTTTTTTTAAGTAGATCACCAGGCCTTTCTTCCTAGTCTTAGCCTGGAAGCTGTGCTGAACCCTGTACGCCATGGGTGGCCCTGCTGGTATTTGAAATACTGGTGGTGCAGCTTCTGGCCCCACGGCCACGTGCTAGCCCCACCATCCAGCAAAGTAAAACACGGGTGGCTCTTCCAGATGCCTTCACCCAGGCCAAGCAGGCCCACTGCCAGTGGCCTCAATTTTGGCTTGCAATGACCCCATGGGGTGCAGCAAACCTGTCCCCTCACAGGGTTTCCACAGCTCTGTCTCCACGGAAACAGGCTGTCTCCTCTGTCTTCCACGGAGCTGCTGGTGGATTTGAACCTTCAATCTTTAGATCAGTGATGCAATGCTCAATTCCCTGCACCACCAGGGCCCCTTAAATGGGCTGTTAAGTGATGAAGAACTGCGATAATTAGCCAGTGGGCCGTCCGCTCTGACCCATTGTGACCCCACCATGGTGTATCAGAATCATCTGGGCTCCACAATGGTTTTCAGTGACTGGATTTTCAAACCTGGGTCACCAGGCCTTCCTCGTGAAGAGCCTGTGGTTAGTCTTGAACCGCTAACTTGTGAGCAGATGATGTGTCTGCACCACACAGGGTTGCACTGCTATCCTAGCTCACACAAACTGACTTATTTTCAAGGATTTTTTTTTCTTTCTTAGGAAAATAAGCTCTTAGAGACTTGCCAGCTTTCCCCCAGCCCCCTGGCCCCTCCCCTCCTGGTCCCCACCCACACTTTCCTGGCACTCACCTGACACCACTAAGCTGCACCCACATCACCTTAACATTTGAGGTGAACCCCAGGAGTGCTGCTATAGGTTTTCATCAGGGCTGGGGGGCCTCCAGCCAGGGCATTCTCATTAGGCTGCTGTCCAGGGGCCGGTGAAAGCTGTCCCCGCTGGCTGACCCTGTGAGCGAAGGACACTCAGGTGTAAGACATTCTCCCTGAGCTTACACAAAAGCTTCCGCTTCTCACCCAAACTTGCAAAATGCTCCCCCCCCCTCATTGTTTTCCCCACACAAAATGCCTTAGTGACCACTTGGGTGAATCCTTGGGTGGTTTTTGTTTTGTTTCATTTTTCACTTTTGTTGTGCTTTTTGTGAAAGTTATAGGGCAAACTGGCTTCCCAGTCAACTATTTGGACACACTTTGTGTGTATTATAATCCCCCTGTGGCGAAGCACTCTTCCCACCTCCTCCCTGTGATTCTCGTTTTCATTAACCCTCTCTCCTGCCTCTCCTTCCTGCTGAGTTTTACCTTGAGTGAACAATGTGCACCACCTAGTCCCTCTGATATCATGGTGGAGGTTATGGTAGTTCATAGGAGCAGTGAGTTCTCTAGTCTACATACCCCATGAATTTCCTTTATATAAGAGCATTATGGTGAAGTGGGTGTTCAAAGTTCAGAGCATATCCTACTAGGGTGCTCAGGATGACTGCAGAGGGACAAGAGTTAACATTTTTTTAAATACTTAAAAAAAAATTTATTAGAGCTATTTTGAGTTTTCCAAGGACAAGTATGGAAAAATCCCGTAAGCCTCTTTCTCCATTTATTTTCATATGCATTAGTAAAAGGAAAATGAACCCAAACACATGATTTTGATATTACTGCTGACAGTGAGGCTGAAGGGACTATCTGGGTTTTGAAAAGACATCACGTGAAAATGAATATCAAGTAATGGCAGAAAACTCAGTGTTGGGGAGCTCCGGTGGCCTAGTGGCAAAAAGCTGCACTGCAATCCCAGAGATATGCAGTTCGAATCCAGGAGATGCTCTGCTGGAGAAGGGGGGGCAATCTCCTCTTGTACCAGTCAGATCTGATTTGACGGGACACACACAAAAAATAATAAAATCATATAAAAAATTTAAAAAAAAAGAAAACTCAGTGTTGTCGAGTCAAAACCAACTCGGAGCTGACTCTCCGGCGGGTTTTGAGGGGCTGTAAATCGCAGAGAAGTAGAAGGCCATGTTTCTCCCTTAGAGCAGCTGGAGGATTTGAAACCCCCACCTGTGAACTGGCAGAGCAACTCCATACTGACTAGACTACCAGAACTTCTGAGTAATACCAGAGGTGATTCATATTTGAGTCAACAAGCACCAAAGTTTTCAAAGGATTCAGAGTTAGGGACATGCAGTGATTGGAGAAACACAGGTGTAGAATTAACTCTATTGCACAATAGGATAAATGGAAAGAGGGAACAAGGAGGAAGTGGGAAGAGTGCTGTTACACTGAGGTGATTACAATTCATTTCATGAAACAAAATATGTGTGACTTGTCCAACAGAATGGGAAACTAGCTCTGTAAACTTTCACCTGAACACCAAGAACCCACCCACCGCTGTTGCATGACTTTGGGTATATGGCGACCCTCCACTGAGGCTTCTGAGGCTGTGTACCCTCCCAGGAGGAGACCGCCCATTTTTCTTCTCAAAGCAACTGGTGGAATTGAACCGCTGGTCTTTCGGTTAGCACTGCACCACCAAGGTGCCTTCCCCACAGCAAAGCAGCAATAGATGCTCTTTTTTGAAACTTATTATGGGGGGGTTGGGACCAGGTTAGCCAAAAGGAGGGAAACCACCACCCCTCACAGACCTTCTGAGTTGAGCATAAAATACTGCAGCTCCATTCCCAACCTCCAAATCTCAAGCAGCATGTCTCCTGTGGCCCCCACACTGGACGCCAACAGCCTCAGCAGCTGACACATTCCAAAGCCAGCCACTGAGACGGCAGTGGGTTGATAGAGAGGCATGTTCACAAGGCAAGATGTACATTGCTCTGAGCTTTTAGCCAATGCCTGAGACGATTTAGGATGCTGGAAAGCAGAAGGGGGGCCTCCATTTCCAGCCACTGCAGGTAGCATGCCTGAGGAAGACAACGCCATCACTTGCCAACAAGAAAGGGTGAGTTTCTGAAAATGAGTCAAAACCTTATGTAATTGTCTTTCCAGTGACTAAATTAGCAGCCCTGGTGGAAACTGTGCGGGCGCGTCCAATTTCACCCGACTTCTTAGGTGTTGGCTAAGTGGCACCTGACCTCAGCAGCGGCAGACTGGATCTCAGATCGGTTTTTGCTTGAAATTGGAGATTCCTAAGGAACTCATCACACCAAATTAAACCGCAATCATTATACTGAACTAACTACGTAGCTTTTAAACCTGAACAGAGACAAGCCTTTCATATCTTTACTGTTTTACTAGATTAAAAAAAAACAACAACAACACAAACCTATAAAGAATTATTTCAAAGGTTCTTATGTTTAAAAATTTTATATAAGCATTTCCTCATGTGCACCTGTTGCCATCAATTTTAAATCAAGGCAACGTGTGGCGCAGAATGACCATCTGATCTCCAAGACTGCCATGATCAGGAAGCCCTGCTGGTGGAGTGAGCTGAGCTAATTCAAAGGCTGTGTCTGGCGGTTCAAATCTACCAGGGGCCCTGAGCGAGAAAGACCGACAGTATGCTCCTGTTGGGATTTACAGCCTCGGAAATCCTCCAGAGGGTCGCTATGAGCTCGAAGGGACTAGAAGGCAGCGTGTTCATGTTACTGAAACAGACTGTCACATCTTCCTTTCTCTCCGTCTTATTTCAAGCACATCAGCAATACAAAGAGGTGACTGTCTGAATCAGAAAGCCAGTCTAGTCTGATGATTTAGTAGTAAGGAGGTTGCGCTGCCAACCCAAAGGCACAGAGTTCGAATCCAACAGCTGTTCTGTGGTGGAAAGATGGGCTATCTCCTCCCATGGGATTTACAGCTTCTGAAATTCCTAGGGGGGGTGTGTGTGTGTATGTGTATGAGAGCACTACGAGTCAAGGTGCAGTCGAGTAGTTTGCAGGGAGCTGTGTAACACAAAGCCAGTGTGTCTCTGGCTCGAGTCCTCTAGCAGCTCTATGGGAGAAAGATGGGAAATCTCTTCCCAGGCGATTTACAGACTTGGAAACCCAAGGGAGGCTCAGCTGTGAGCCAGGTCTGACTTGATGGCATCAAGTTCTTTGAGTGGGTTACCTACAGGGTACTCTAGAGTGATATTGCTGTAAACCAAGGTCCTGCCCATTGTCATCACAGAGACTCCACTCCCAGCTTCCTACAGGACAGAGCGGCGGGTCCCACAGCGTTCCCGAGATGATTAGATGCCTGGTGGGTCCACACACCACTGATTTGTTGTTGTTGTTTAGGAGCCAAATGTTTTAGCTATTGCATCACCAGGGATCCTCTAGGGGAAGACAAACATGTAATTTTATTTTATTAAGATGTGAGAAACTGGCTGGTCCAATGGTAGTGGGTTATCAGAAACTATTAACATTAGTGCAACTAAAGTTGGTATACAACCCCCACTGCTGAATCTGACTGGCTTTAAAAATAAAAAAATAAAATAAAAAGATGTGAGAAACTGTCCAGAATCACCCAGCAGGGATTAGAATCTTCTACATGGAGCTGTGGCCTCTTTCTCCCCTACAAAGAATACATTTGTTCCACATATCATTCCCTCAAAATTTTGAATTCTCCAATTGTTTGGGTTTTTTTTTCTCTCCTCTAACTGAAACCTGTGCTGGGTGACAGCATCGTAACCCAGGGTCCTCTCTGCCCTCAGTTATGAAGGGAGGTTTGCATGCCTAGGCCCTGGATGGGAAAGGACCAATGTGGGGTATGGAGATGTATGTGTGTGCATGAGAGTGTGTATAGGTGTGGGGGTGTGCATGAGAGTGTGTGGGTGTGTGGCTGCTTTTACAAGTAGCTCACCAGGCCTTTCCTAAAAGGTACTGCCTGACAAGTTCTGGGAGATGACTGCTTTAATTCCAAAACATATATATTTAATGGAAGATTTTAATGCTCCAGAGCAAAGTGGTTTGGAAGGTCTTTCAAAAATAAGCAGTGGATCCTGTTTCAGTTCATAAGCGTGATGACTGGATGTTCATGCTTTTTGTGTGACACGTGGGTCCCTTCAAATTCGTTATGACGTCAGCATGTTACCCACCTGACAGTGACAGCAATCACCCTCTGACTAATGAGAAGTATCAGGCACCTGATCCACTGCCTCAGTTCAATCTTGGTACAAAATTCCATTAGGTAGGCATCAACTCCCTGTCACCTCACACAAACGATGGAGACAGGAGAAAGGCTAGGTAATTGGGCCAAAGTTCCACACCTAATGGGACAGAGCGAGAAGATGCACACAGACCTGCCTCCCTGAACATCTCCAAGGCGAAACCTGTGACAGGTGAGATATCTAAACTGGGTCTGCCTTCGCCCAAGTGGCCAGATGAAGCCCTTGAATTCCAAGTAAGACACATAATGACCATCCTAAGGTAGTTGTTGTTATGTACTCTGGAGTTGCCTGCGACTCATAGCGACCCTATGCACAAGAGCCCTGAAACATGCTCTATCCCGTACCAACTTTATTGTCTCTGACACACCTACCCTCATTACCCCAGTCACTGAATCAGTCCATCTCATCAAGAGTCTTGCTCTTTTGCGCTGTCCCTCCACCCTCCCAAGCACGATGTCCCTCTCCAAGGACTGGTCCCTCCTTGCAACATGTCCAAAGTATGTCAGATGAAGCATTCTAAGGTGAAACCCCCCAATACTAGAAAGAAGCACTGAGACTTGGGGACCAGGACCTGTATCTGGCATACTGAGGTTCACCTAGGCCAGCACCTGCACACCTGCAAGCCCTCTTTCTACATTCGATCTGCTGTTCTGGTTTGTTGCAGAGTTAATCTGGAGTCTTCTGAACAGGAAACCAACTCATCAGGACTAATAGCGATCCTCCACTGGGCTTCCTGGGCTGTACATCTGTGCAGGAGACTGACCATCTTTCTTTCATGGATCAGGTGGTGGATTTGAACCATCAGCTTTTTAGTTAGCAGATGGCGAAGAGGGGCAATCTCCTCCTGTGCTATTTACAGCCTCCGGAAACCAGCTGGGAGAGGTCAGCTATGGGTCAGCCCAACTGGATGGCAATGCGCAAGTAGTTTATAATTTTTTAATAGTTTTTTTTAATTTTTATTATTTTTGTGTGAGTGTACCGTCAAATCAGATCTGACTGGTACAGGAGGAGATTGTCCCTCCTTCCCCGGCAGAGCAT